ATAATGAAATATATGTGTGTGTGTGTGTGTACAATGCGAAATTTACCGTGTATCATCGATTGAATCCAATGTTGAATGCGATGATGATCGATTTATGTGATGAAAATCCAATTTTTAATCGATAATTCATTTTATTTTTGTTTTGTTGTTGTTGTCTTGTTGTTGTTGTTGTTTTCATTTTTTATTTCTCTTTTGCTTTTACTTTCTTTTTTTTTGCAAGATGATGATAACTGATTGCCATTGAATTATTGTTGGCTAATTGAATTTTTTTTCTTCTATGTTGAAAAATCATCATTGTTACATCTGATGTTTTGATCTGTGCTTTTTACAGTTTCTCTTGTTGTTGTTGTTGTTTTTATAACCGAAAAAAAAAAGGTGAAAAGAAACCATCAAGGAGAAATATGAAACCAAACGATAAATACACAGTAAATGAAATGTGACAGTGAAAGAAAAATAAACTCGATTAATGTCACGCACCTTATGATCACGATGATGATGATGATGATGATGACAATTGCAATTTGAAACAGCCACATTGCGCACATCCATCTATTCATTTTCACCAATGATAAAAAAAAACTTTATTTTTGGACATTTGGTTTACATTTAGTGTGGAATAAAAATAGAAATAAATTCTTAGATATTATCATTCTGATGGTGGTTCATTCATTGACCGATTCATTTGTATTCTTTTTTTTTTTTGCTTTTTTTATACTGTCCAATTGGCGTAGGTGGTATATTGGTATCTATCAATAGAATTCGAAGGGAGAGAGAGAGAGAAGAATATCAATCTATTATTATTTGTTTCAAGTTTGTTTATTAATTTATCAATAAAGGTAACCAAACCAAAATTGCCATCACAAAATATTATTTTGATCATTGAACCTAACGAACCATAGTAGCAATTGAAATGAAAATGACCCAAATGAAGATATATTCTGATTCTCTTATGATGTTTTATTATTATTATTTTTCAATCAATGAAAAGAAAAATTCTTATATTAATCTAATTCTATTCTAATATTGCCTACTACAACTGTTTTATTATTATTATTTTTTTCTGCTGTTGTTGTTGTTGTTGTTTGTTTGTTTGTCATTTCAGAATATTCTGTGTGTGTGTCGCTGCTTGGTACTAGATATATTCTTTCCTATATTATATTATATTTTTAGATTCGCGTGATTCAAAACTAAACAAAAACTCAAAATAATAACACATATATAGATACATAGATAGATAGAGAATATAGACAGAGAATTTATTCAATTCAATTTGAAAATTCATTTATTCTTTGTGGATTTGATTGTTCCCTCGACACCTGGATCGTTTTCGTTTATTTTGTTCATATTCTTTATTTGTGAATCTATAGATTCGTTTCTATTTTTTTTTCTTCTTCTTTTACTTCTCTCAGGTTTTCCATAATGAAAACCTTTTTTTCGCAAAAAACACACACACACAAATGATATAGTAGATATATTTAGATTCAATACTGGGTTTCTGGTTAGAAATTTTCATTGGCTACATTCGTTTTTTGTCCAATAATCATTTCGATTTTTTTTTCTTTTTGGTTCGATGAAAAAAAATTTTTTCAAGACAATATTTTTCTGGCTTTATAATATCAAATATACCATTGGGAATCTGTACAGAATATCGCAATTATTTGCAAAGAATTTTTTTGTGTGTGTGTGTGTGTGTGTGCGTTTCAAGATTCTTATTATTTACAATCATGGCATCATTTTTTTTCCTTATATGTTCCAATCATTATTATTACGATTGTTTTCATTTTGGTGTTTTTTTCCTGCTTTGAAATTCTATTCTTCAACATGGATGTGAATCCAGGAATTAAAAGATGGAAGATAAAAAAAAAACGAAACATTCAAATGTCTAGTTCGCCGTCGCAAATACCATTTACCATCGTGCACACACACATGCCCTTTGCACAACAACAACAACGACAACAACAACAATTTACAGACGACAGAATTAATTTTGATATATATATATGTTTTCTTTTTTCCAAATGACGACAATGTTGATAAATTCTTCATTCATTCAAACGGTCTTTTTTTCTCGGTTTTTGGACCATTTCATTTTGACATAACGCACACACACACACACACACACGCATACACACTACTGCCATGACAGACAAATAAAAACATCACAGTAAAATATTTATTTATGGCCCCTAGGATCATGAATTTAATAGTAATAGTGTCATTGCCTGTATGAAACTGTTTCGACCAGAAATTTATCAATTCTCATCACATCATCATCGAGTTTGGCGCCAATCTTCTTGTTTGTCGTTATTTTTCATTTTTTTTCTAAAATTAAAACACATTTCATTTTTGCTGTTTGTTTTTTTTTGTGTTTCTCAATCAATCGATCGATTGTTCGATCGATCGATCGATAGATACAACACAGCACCAACAATGAGTGAAAAAAATTGAAATTGAAAAAATTGTCTCTCTCTCTCTCTCTTCCTCATATTCATACATACACAAATTCAATTCATCAATTTTTCATCATTTCATTTTATGACAATGTATTTGTGTGTGTGTGTGTGTGTGTGTGTGTGTGTGTGTGTGTGTGTGACAACAAATGAAAATCGACAATTGTAAATAATTTGAATTTTAAATTAAATTTTTTTCCATCATTTAAAAAAAAAATTTTTTTGATCATTCATTCATGATGAGAAAATTCAAAATTTTAAATTTCATTTTTTTTTCACGCGTAAGCCTGTGTTTCGGCGTGTGTGTTCGTGGTTTTTTATTTGATGTGCGACATTGAAAATGTCTGTGTGTGTGTGTGTGTTTTTGTTCAATTTGCTTTCCATTGTTTTTTGTTTGATAATAACTTTGGCGACCGGTTTTGTTTTTTTTTGGATCAGTAATTTTTTTTTTTTTTTTTGCTGGTCTGGTTATTTATTACCTGTCATCATTTTTATATATGTGCATATAAATGGATTAAATGAATGAATGAATGATGATGATGATGATGATGAAATTGATTTCACCAGTTTGATGACAGATGATGATTGTAATATTAACGGATAAATTGTGATTTTCAAAAAAAAAAAAAATTTTTTTTTTGTCTAAACATAGCACACACACACACACACAAATCATAGTGTACATTACAATTTTGATTCTGGGATTTTGCTACTTCAAATCTTTTTTTTTCTGATATACAGTGATTGTCATTCGATTGTCAACTTTTTTTTCACTGACTCTCTCTCTCACTAAATCGATTAAATTTCCTTTTGTTTTTTTTTTGTTTTTGTTTGTGTTTTTGATTGATCACAAATCTAATTTTTATCATCATCAATGGACAGTTTTTGGTGTTTATTTTCCGGTTCAAATTTTTTTTTCATTATTTCACAGTTTCAATCATTCGACCATTTGTTCATTGTCTTCCATTCATCCGTTTATTTTTTTTATTTTTTTTTTTTGAATGAAATAAAAAACATTCTGTGCCAATAATCTAATGACGATGATATGAGAAAGTGAGATATATACACACAGTGGGCACTCTATGTTCGTAAGTACGAATATAAACATTGTCGTAAACAATGTGTACACTGTATACGGAATTTAAAAATAGAATTTTTTTTTTTTTTCATTCGTTTTTTGTTTGTTTTCCGAATAATAAAAAAAAAATTCATATAAATGGTGGGCGTTTGTACTGTGTGTGTGTGTGTTTATTGTTTATGACAATGACAAACCCGACAACAAGTAAGATCGAAACATTTTGGTTTGTTTGTCTGTCGTTGTTTTTTTTTTTGTTTTGCTGATTTTTGAATTTTTTTCCCTTGTTTTTTTGTTTGTATTTATACAACATAGGAGATTAGAAAAGTTTTGTCACACAAAAAAAATAAGACAAAATCGTTGTCGTCGTCGTCGTCGATAATATATATTCTTAGAACATCCATGATGATGATGACGACGATGATGATGATGATGATTTACATGGTTCTAATTGATTGTGTTTACAATCAGAAACGGAATTGGATGAAAATAAAGTTTTTATTCTAAAAGCACCGAAAAAAACATCATCATCAATGTTTAAATGAATTGAATTGAATTGTTTGTTTTGGTTTGACTGTGTGTGTTGGTGTTGGCACACACACACACACACACACACACACCCAATGTTTACGCCCAATTGTAGAATTTTTTCATTTTTTTTCTTATAAATCGTGGCAATTGTTGTTGTTGTTGTTGTTGTCGTAGTTATTGTCTGATTTGAAAATCATGATATGAACTTGGAAATTCTGGTCTGTGTGTGTGTGTGTGTGAGTACATTTTCTGAGAAAAAAAAAATTCTTATTTTTTTTGCTGATGGTAATTTCTAACTTTGTCGAAAGTTGAAAACCAATTTGTTATCGTGTCTTGTGTATATGGCAACAACGACTACGATTATAATTCATTCATCAACATTGATGTTTTTCATGTGATTAATTTATAAATTTTTTTTTTTGATTTTTTTTTTAATTTATGCAAATTCATCATCATCATTTATACATCAGTGGTATTGGTGAATGCATCACCTATCGAATCAGAAACTGGACAACAACAACTGCAACAACGACAACAACAATCATCACAATCATTGAAGAAAAAATCCAGTCCATTCAATATATTTCGTCGTAATAAAAATTCATCAACAAAAAATAGCCATAATTATTCTGTGAATGATTTACCAACTGCTACTGCTGCTGCTGCAACCAGTAGTGATCCAACAACATTGATAAAATCATCATCATCATCATCATCTTCGGCACAGAATTTATTTGAAAATAATAATTCACAAGATTTATTGAATAATAACGATCTAGATCGATCTAGTCAGTTTGATTCAACCAACAACGATATTCAATCAAATGTTCAGAATGTCCAATCGCAACTGCCACCACCACCACAAGCAAATGAATTGAAATCAATATTGAAAAAATCAAAAACATCATCATCATCATCATCGTCATCGTCATTAACGAAATTATTATTACGTAAATTATCATCATCAAATGAAGTGAATAATAACAATAATAGTGATAATTATAATTCAACAAACAGTAATAAAAATACTAATCGATCTCGTGAATTGATGCCAAAAGATTCAACGATAATCATCAATAATAATAATAATAATAATAACAACAACAATAACAACATGTCATCAATCATGGGCCATAATGATAATGATAATGATGATCATGGGCCAACAATGGCACAGATTCTTATCCAAACGGGTAATTGTAAGTAGAACATTTTTACATTTTTTTCATTTTTCATTTTTCATTTTTTTTGTAACTATAGTAGAAGTATGTAGTAGTAGTAATAGTCGAAACGGTTACAATGAATCCGATTATTCAACTGCATACATTCATTATTCATTCAATTTAGAACGGAATTTGTAACCGAAAAAAAAACAAAATTCTATAATAAAGACAGAATAAGCACAACAAAAGCAAAAAAGTTTTGTTTTTCATTTTGTCTTTATTCTTAATAATTCTTGTTTTTCGACAACTTATTGATGACATCAGAATTGTATATTATTTTTTTTTTTTTTGGTGACATTTGTGTTTTTTGTTCATCTAGAATCTAGATATTTGCATTATGTTCAAGGATAAAAATATATTTCACTGTGTTACTGTTACTGTTTGTTTTACCAGTTAAACACAACTATTTTTGTTTTCTGTCTGTTTGTTTATTCTTAGTTGACAAATTTACTTGATCATTTATTTATTTATATGATGAAAAAGAATATTCTGATTCTTGGCTTGATTTTTTTTTTTTTTTTGAAAACTCTGTTTCTGTCTCTCGATGCAAAGAGAGAATTTTTTTTTTTTTTTTTTTTTGGCATCCAAAAGATGCAATCGCTTGAAGGCATAAATGCTAACAAAAATAGAAAAATAGAAAACAATTGATTACATATTCGATTATTTGTTTTCAATTTTCATTTGTACAACAAATGTTTTTGAAGTTAGTTTTATGTTTTTCAACATCAAGTATGACAATTTTACCTGGTGTGAATCGGTGATGTTTTTAACACACACACACACACACACACAGAATGTGTTTTGTTAACAAACTAGGAAAAAAAACATTCAACTCGAATTGCTCGAAGGTTTTGCATTTCTTTTTCTTCTTCTTTTCCTTTTTTTTTATTGATTGTCATTTAATCTTTATCATTCTTGGAATTTGTTGTTGTTGTTGTTGTTGTCCTAATTTTTATACTGGAAATCAAATTCGTTTCGAAAATTATTTTCTTTTTTTTTTCTCGATAATGATCAACTGATTATAACTGAAATGATGATAATGATGAGTACGAAAGATGAAATGAAATGAAATGAAGCGAAAAAAAATCATCATTAAAAGAAAAACGAGAGACAACATGATTTCCAACAATCCATATAGTGATCATTATGATGATCACTATGATCTATCAGTTTCTGTGTGTGTGTGTGTGTGTGTGTGTGTATATGCCACTATCGTTTGTTTTCAAAATTCTTTTAATTTGATATTCTGTTTTTTTATTTCGTTTCCTGGTTTCCATTATTAGCACACACACACACACACACGTTTGTTTTATTCTTGGAAAGTTTTTTTTTTCTGCTTATTCAATCAGTTTTTTTTCTTGGTTCTTTTTTTTTTTGTTCACACATTCTAACGACTGGTCGACTTTTATTTGCTGCTTTTTTTTTTTTGTATTATTGATTGATTGATGCATTTTTGTTTTTGAAATGGAATTTTTTTCAATTCCGTTAACTTTTCAATCACGTTTGTTCTTGTTTTGTTTTTGGAGAAAAAAAAAAATAAATTCTGCTGACTTTAAAAAAAAAAAATGAAAAACAACAATTCCGGAAAGCATTCAATCAATTTAGCGCCTTCCGTTGTTATATATATTTGAAACTTTCTGTCTGTGTGTGTGTGTGTGTGTGTGTCAGTATTTATGGAAATTTCACGAAAAAACAAAAACAAAAACTCTCAACGTAAACAAACAAACAAAAAAAAATCATAATTCCCATTCATTCATTCATTCATTCATTTTCTTTCAACCGACTAATTATATGATATGATATGATACATATGATATCAAATTAATATATACTGGTTATATTAAATTAAAAAAAAATTTTTCTGAGGCGGCTTAATTAGACACACACACACATATCATATTTTCATGAAATTCAAATCATCATCATTTATTTTTTTTTCATATCTATTTTTTTTTATCATTCTGTGTGTGTGTGTGTGTGTGTGTGTGTTTAGACGTGATGATAATGATGCAAAATAATTGATGCAGAAATTCTGTTTGTGTGTGTGTGTGTGTGTGCCGTTTTTATTTATTTTTTTCCCACTTTCAGTGGTGCCATCTTTTGTAGAAATAAATGGATATTTTTTTTAAAAATCAATTTATGTTACCATTGTTGATAAAAGATGGCGTTTAAGTTTGTGTGTTTAGATGTGGAAAAAAAATGAAAATAAATCGCGCCAAACTATAGCTGATTTTTCGAGTCGAGTCGAAAAAAAAAATGAATATAGAAAATTTTTATTTTTATTTTCCTATATTTCACCTTCAAAACACATGCCACAGATACACACACACACACACACGGCCAAAGTTATATATATCATATAAACTTTTTTTTTTTTGTCTGCTGTTATCGGCTACAATTATTCCGATGTTCAATGTTTGTAGTAGTAAAAGAATCTGTAAACACTTGTCCAACAATTGATAGTGGTTGTTGGCAGCGGCAAATACTAGTCATATAATCAATAAAATGACATGACATCCAAAAATTCTATCTCGATAATGGTAATAATAATGATGATGATAATCAATGAAAATCTTTAACCATTTTAACATTGAAATCCGTTTTGAAGTTTTTTTTTTTCTCTCTCGTCCATTCATTCATTCGAATCATCATCATCATTATATAACAGTAAATAGTTACAGTAGTAGTGGTGTTGGTGTAATTATTATTTTTTTTTGACCATTTTGCTTACTTTAGACTTTGCTTCTACTTTTTTTTTGGGTGATGGGCGCCATATATATTCCATGTTTAAAAAGGATACATTCTGTGTGTGTGTGTATGGAACCATATCCCAAATGAAATGAATGAATTTACCACTACCATCAAATGGTCAACATTATACCATATTCTATATGAATGGCGATCATTATAGTTTTTTTTTTTTTTTTTTGGTTATTCTGGAAAAGAAATTTTAAAAAGAAAACCGAACATTATTATTCTTTTGTTGATTGGTTTGGTTGTAGCAGACAATATCGCTTACAACAACAACAACAACCATCATCATCATATATAGAATCCTATCTTTTGTGTTTATTTGTCTGTTTTGTGTGTGTGTGTGGCTAAACCAGAAAATACCAGAATTTTTTTTTACTTCTTTACGGATTCACTCTTATACATAAACACACACACACACCCACACACACATGGATTCTGTTTGGAACCATAATAATAATAACATCTACTACTACTACTACCACCACCATCACTATAACGTCATTTTGTATAATAATCATCATCAACACATTTTCAAATGTCTTTAAGAATAATCAAAGAATTTTTTTTCTGATCATCATCATCATCATCATCATTTGGGGTTGATGATGGTGGTTGGTGGTTGGTACAATTTCAATTGAAACAATCGCATGTTATATACATGCGTCAAAAAATCCATCAAAAAAAAAATTTCGGTCTGTTTGTCTATTTTCATATATCCGTTTTGAAATAGCAATGAAACGACTCGAATATTATTCTTTTCAAAGTTTTTTTTTCTTGCCTCTAATGTTTTTTTTTTGTTATTGTTACTTTCGTTGTTATTGTTGTTGTTGTTGTTTGCAATGCAAATCTTTCAACAAAAAAAAAAAAAAAATAGGAAAAGAAGAGAAAACTTGACTTTGGAATTTTTTTTCGGTTTTTTTGGTTATGGATCGCTTTTGAAACTTGTTATAGTAGCTCTTTGTAGATGTAGACTTGACTGATATATATATCATATATTGATGACGTTCACAGACGTATCAGATGTTACTTGCTTGTCAGACGTTGCTTGTTTGTGTATATATACACGTTTTCCACACACACACACACCATATATAAACAAACCAAACACAGCGGTTTTTTTTATATTCTTGATGGCCAAATACAAAAAAAAAGAATATTCAAAGAAAAGAAATGTACACACACACACACACACACACATTGGGAACCAGCCATATCAAACACAATATACAATACAAATTCTTATTCTGAAAAGATTTTGAAAACCTTAGTTTCCACTGTGTTTTGTTTGTGTTCACATTACACGGCGAGAATTGCGTGTGTGTGTGTGTGTGTGTGTGTGTGTGTATGAGAAAAAGAATACGCATGTATAACACGTAAAAGAATAACAAAATAATCAAAGAATCCGAGTAATCAAAGGTTCCAATTGATATTGAAAACAACGGCATCATCAATGAATGAATGAATGAATTTTATTTTTCAATGACAAAATATCGATTGTTGATTTGGCGATGACAAATCTCATTGATTGATTGATTGAAACATTGTGTTTTTTCTATCTTTTTTTAATGTCATTCGTACTCTGAAATTTTTTTTCTTTTTTAATACTTGAAATTGAAACCGTGTTCATCATCGTCATCATTTTTCTTTCAATTAATTAAAACAGTTGTTGTTGTTGTTGTTGTCAATGTCAAAACAAAAATATCACCTGAAAATCATTATAAAACTAAACTGTTAAATTAAATTAAACTATATATAATCCAGAAAAAAAAGATAAATTTGATTCTGATCAATTTGATTGATTATTGGCCACTGTCATTGTGTGTGTGTGTGTGTGTGTGTTTGCCAACATTTTGTCATTACACATTTTGAGTTGATGCTGTTTCAATTTTTATTTTTTTTTTTTGTTTGATCATATATTAAAAAAAAATATTGTCCTCATCATCATCATCATCATCCTTTGGCAGATATTTTGCTCATTTGATGATTTGATAATTTTTTTTTCTGTTGTTGTTGTTGTTGTTGTTGTTGTTGTTATTGATGTTGATAGTCAAATCGACAATAAACTTTATAATACACCACCATCATCATCATCATCATCATCATTATCCGTTGTAATCTTTGTTGTCGTCGGGGCAATAATAATAAACGTGCATCATCATCATCATCATCATCCGCAATCAACAATCCACAATATTCGAACCTCATAATAATAAATCAACACA